GCATTTAATAAACTTTTCCTATATTGCATCGCTTGGCTTGATTGTCTCTTAATTCTACTACATTTGTGAGTCAATGTTTGTATTCTTATTCTAGTGATTTCTAGTCTGAGTCTTGTGACAATAGTATTTTTGAGATTTCTGGCCTGGTCTTCCTATTACAACACTGTCTTGGTGAAGTTCCCTTCCAACAGAGGAAGGTTAAAAATAAGTCTAGAAGTTTTGGAAAGAGAACCAATAAGGAAGAAAAAAGGGGTTTTGCAACCCTCAACTAAGTTTGAGTTTTCTGTGTTTAATTTTTACTTCTTCTTTTACCCCTTCAGGTGTTGAGGGAGAGACACATTCTGGTTTTTGCACTTCTCAACAGCCTCAACAGTTGTTATTTGATGCTGTTATAGTATCTCTTTGAAGTTCTTTCTCCACCTTCATCTGGATCTGCTTCACGTTTAACAGAGTTACAAGGGACCTTGTGGTCATCTAGTCCAACCCCTGCCCAAGCAGGAGACCCTACACCATTTCTGACAGATGGCAGTCCAGTCTCTTCTTGAAAGCCTCACTTGGAGCCGAACCCAGAAGGACATTTCTTTCATCAGAAGACAGACAGAAAGACAGAAAGAAAAAGAAAGAAAGAAAGAATAAATAGAAATAGATTGAGGAAGAGAATGAAAGAAAAAAAGAAAAAAGGAAAAGGCTGAAAGTAAAAGAGAATGGAAGAGAGAAAGAAAAAAAAGAGTGAAAAAGGAGGAAAAGAGTGAAAGAAAAAGAGAAAGGAAGGTAGAAAGAAAGAAAAAGGGAGGGAGCAAAAGCAAGCAAGCAAGAATGAAAGAGAGAGAGAGAGAGAGAGAGAGAGAGAGAGAGAGAGAGAGAGAGAGAGAGAAGGTCTAGAAATAAAAAAAATCATTATTAGCATGTTAAAAAAGACATCCCAAGGTGGAGAGTTTAGCTAATTAAGTGCACTCTCCCATGCTTATTATGGGATGTTAACCTATGCTCTGGGTTGCTCCAAGTTTGACCTGGATTGGGCAAACTGATAGTAGCAGCAGTTGGGGACTACCTGTACAGGGGTTACCAGGGCAGTCTATAAAACCCCATGTTCTTTCTCTAACTTCCCTGCTAGTCCCCCCCCCACACACACACAAGTGACAGGGTAACAAAGCCATCAATCATACATAGTTGCCAATAAAACAGCAACATGAGCCATGGTGGCACAGTGATTAGAATGCAGTATTGGAAGCTAATTCTGCCAACTGTCAGCTGTTTGATCCTGACTAGCTCGAGGTCGATTCAGCTTCCACCACTTAGATAGGGCTACATCGCCTTGCAGTCCAAGGGACTCACAGGAATCTTTTCCGGTACCAGAGTTCAAAGCCCTCCATTCTTTGGCGCTCAGCCTTCCTTATGGTCCATCTTTCACAGCCATACATTGCAACTGGGAAAACCTTAGCCTTGACTATAGGCACTTTTGTTGCCAGAATGATCTCTCTGCTTTTTAGTATGCTTTCTAGCTTTCCTCCCCAGGAGCAAGCGTCTTTTACTTTCTTTAAAATTAAAATGTGAAGTGGTATGTAAGTCTTAAGTACTAGTGCTAACATAGAGTAGGCAGGGGAACAGGAAAGGATACCAGGCAGGGACCCAGGTGCTCTGAGACATAAACCTCATGGCAAAAAAGGGAATAAACAAATGATCCTTATCTGAGAGGTTAGATTATGAAAGAAAATGTGAAGTTGTCCGATTGATCTGTGTCTCATAACCACAATGGAGTTTTCTCCATTACTGAAGAACGGCAGAGAAGAAAACTAAATGCAAGAGAACTGGTAGTGCTGTCGAACATCAATATTTCTTTAATAAACAGGAGGTAGTATATACATTTTTGCAACCATAGGTTTTAAGCAAGTTATAAACAGGAGATCCAATATGTAGATAAATGCAAATTAAGTACCGGTAGTTTTACTGGAGAGAGATCAATTGACCTAGAAACAGTGAAAAAGAAATAATTTAGAACTGGAAGTCTGTTTGAACAAGGAGGTTGGACCAGAAGACGGTCAAGGTCCCTTCCAACTCGTTACTCTGTAAATGACATCAGAATTAAAAAAATCAGACCTGGTATGTAGATATGCAAATTCAGCATTCCTACACAAGGAAAGAGTAAAGTGCCAGGTCCTACTAACAGTCCTTACATCTACTGCCTCTAGTGATCAGATTTATAGGTACTTGCCTCTACTAACCAAGAGCTTACAGTAATTTTGATCCTGCCTGCCATTTTATTCCCTAAATCTACTTCCTTTGGTGATCAACAGGTTTATAGATATTTGTCAATGACAGGATAAGATAGGACAATGATGGCAAACTTTTTTGTAAAGGTGTGCCAAAATTATGCACACATGCCCACCCCCATAATGCAATGCACCCCACCCACCCACGCATGCATGGGAGGGGAGAGTTTTCGCCCACTCCAGGCTCCGGAGGCTTTTCTGAAGCCTGGGGAAGGTGAAAACTGCCTCCCCCAGCCCCCCGGAGGCTGGCAACAGATCATTTCTGAACTTCCAGTTGGCCCTTTGATCCTGATTTTCGCCCTCCCTAGGCTCCAGAGGTTTTCCTGAAGCCTGGGGAGGGCGAAAATGGCCTCCCCTGGCCTTCTGGAAGGCAAAAAATCAGCTCACTGGCACGCACATGTGTGCTGGAACTGATTACTCAAGTGCTGGCAAATATGGCTAAGCGTGCCACCTGTGCCATAGGTTCACCATCAGAGAGGATATGATAGGACAACATGCAGCTCTGGAGCCACATGAGGCTCTTTCATCCGTCTGTTGCTGGTTGGCACCACAATTTTGAGGCACTTCCGATTAGGGAAGGAAAAGCGTGTCAGGAGGAGACTCTATGGCAAGGGGGAGGTTTTCTGGTTGGCTCCATAATTGATAGGGCTTTCGGTTAGGACAGAGGAAAAAGAATGCCGCGCTCGGAAGAGGGTGGGGGAACTGGACTTCCAGTTGGCTCCAGAATTGAATGGGAGGCTTTTGGTTAAGACCTTTGTGACTTTTTATGTGTTTAAGGTTGCCAACCCCTGGGATAGGAGAATGGGAAGTAGAGTAGGAGTAAAACAGAACACAATACAACACAACACAACAGAATTGTCTCAGGAGCATAAGCTCAGTGTACATATTAAAAGCAATTAAGAGATCATAGATCACAAATCATAGTTAATCATTAATAATGTTACAAACAATTGATAAATCACAAGAAACCAATACGATAGATGAGAAAAATGAAATGCTGTGGGAATGAAGTGTGATGGCATAGGGCATTGTTTTGGTATGCAATGCCCTATAGCAGCATTCTGAGGGAGGACAATGACATCGATTATGTCCAGGATGTGAGGGGTCTATATACATTTTCTCAGTCCTCTTTCTAGTTCATACACAACTCAATGAAAGGAAAGTTGGTTGTGATTGTTCTTGCCGCAACTATCCATTGGAAGTCTTGTTCGATTGCTGTGACACACCAGATAATTATTGAGGTACAAAGGACAGACTCAATTAGTTGTAACTCTTCCAAGATCTTTCGCTTGATCTTATCATCTTAAATCTTATATAATGAAAAGATAATATCTCTATCATCCATCCATCCAATTTCTTAATCACCCATCTCCGTGGTAGAGGGATATGGGGTGATAATTCCTCATTTTCCTTTTTTCAGCCGCACCAGTTCATTTTAGTCCATGATCGACTTCCATGACATTTCCTTGAAAAAGACAAAATCCTTTTGTATCCAATCACATTGGCCAATAAAAAATTCTAACATTTCTGCACAAGGATCATAACCTCAGAACTCGGGTCTCTGAAGTTCTGCCCACAGTCTGTGCACTCATATGGTTTCTCCCATGTGGATCTTTCTGTGGGAAGTCACAGAACAACTCTTTCTAAAACTCTTTCCACATTCCTGACATTGGTACGGTTTCTCCCCCGTATGGATTCTTTTATGAGAACTAAGGGAACTGCTTACAGCAAAGCTCTTTCCACATTCCGTACATTTGTATGGCTTCTCCCCTGTGTGGGTCCTTTTATGGTATGTGAGGGAACTGCTTATGCTAAAACTTTTCCCACACTCCAGACATTGATATGGCTTTTCTCCAGTGTGGATCTTTTTATGGGAAGTGAGGTAACTTGCATCACTGAAGCTCTTTCCGCACTCCAGGCACTGATACGGCTTTTCCCCTGTGTGGCTCCTCTTATGGGAAGTAAGTCGGCTTTTGCGGCAGAAGGACTTCCCACACTCCAAACATTGATAGCGTTTCTCTCCACTATGGATTCTCGTCTGGGAAATCAGGTAACTGCTCTGACTGAAGCTCTTTCCACACTCCAACCATGGATGTGGTTTCTCTTCTTGGTGGATTCTTTCATGGGTCATAAGGTGACTTTTCTGATAGAAGCTCTTCCCACAATCTATGGACTGATATGGATTCTCCTGGAGATGATTTTTTTGATGGTCACTGAGTTGGCTACTCTGGCTGAAGCTCTCTCCGCATTCCACAGATGTATATAATTTCTCCTCAAGTGATATATTTTGATTTAAAGTAAGAGGAAAGACCCATTCCCAAGTTACGTGTTGTGCCTCAACAGGGTGGCTTCTGCAATACCCACACAATCCTGATTCCTCCTTCAATATTTTTCCACAACCTGGACACATTCTGGTTTCTTGGTGATTTTTTTCAGCCAGAAGCGCATTGTTATCTACATGATGAAAAGCAAGGGCTATTTCTGGCTCTACTTTTAACTGCTTTTCCTCAGGACTTTGGACTCCCCATTGACATTGGAACATCCTTTCTCCAATTTCATTTTTGACTGATGGCAAGTGCTCTATCATCTCCTTCTTGGAGTCCTCGTCCTCCCACCTTTCGCCTGATTGCGACAAAAAGAAGAAACAAAAAGGTGAGTTTCATGAGATGTTCAAGGCCTAAGCTAAGACACCCTCAGGGATCAAGGTCTATTGCCAGATCCTTTATTGAACATTACCGGTAGTTCTCAAGTTATGAGCCTTGGTGGCAACAGTGATTAGAATGCAGTATTGCAGGCTAATTCTGCTGATTGCCAATATTTTAATTCTGACAGATTCTAAATCAAGGTCGACTCAGCCTTACATCCTTCTGAGGTTGGTGAAATGAGGACCCAGATTATTGGGGGCAAGATGCTAACTCTAAATCGCTTACAGAGGGTTGTAAAAGCACTGTAAAGCAGTGTATAAATCTAAGTGCTATTGTTATTTTATGCCTTTCCTTGTCATGGTTCTTAAGTGGATTACTGCAGTTGTTAAGTGAGAGGTGAGGTGAATCTTGCTTTTCCATTGACTTTGCTTGTTGGAAAGTCACAAGTGATCACATGACCCCAGGACACTGCAACCATCATAAATACATGCCAGTTACCAAAGCATCTGCATTTTGTTCACACAACCATAAGGATTCTGCAATGGTCGTAAGCGCAAAAAATGGTCATCAGACACTTTTTAACCTGCCGTTGTAACTTCAAAAAGTCACCAAACAAATGGTTGTAAGTCAACAACTACACGTTTCCCTTGTTCTCATTCCTCCTGGACTCTATGGTGGTAGATTACACATAGGGCAATATTTTTACTATTCCTGTCAGCCCAGGGCCCAGTACGGAACTTGGAACTAATATTTTGACCTTGGGACATTTATACCATGTACAGATCTACCTTGCTTGCCATGATCCTAAGTATTAACATAAAACTGTTGGGGAAGATTATTTGGTTTTCAGATTGTTTTTGAGGTGGTTGATGAAAACAAGTGTTCAGTTTGGGAGTCTACAGCAAAGAGGCCTTGGGGCAAATGGGAAGGAGACATGCCTGGGTGAGCGCTCATATCTCCTCAGAACCTGGAGTATTTATAAGTACAGCCCAATTACTAGGGGCTCAGAATAACAGAATTGGAAGAGCAATAGCAATAGCAATAGCAGTAGACTTATATACCGCTTCATAGGGCTTTCAGCCCTCTCTAAGCGGTTTACAGAGAGTCAGCATATTGCCCCCAACAATCTGGGTCCTCATTTTACCCACCTCGGAAGGATGGAAGGCTGAGTCAACCCTGA